ATGGATAATTTTTTGATGAATTAATCACGATAGACCAACTGATCTGCCTTTCCATTCACATATAATCGTAAAACCAGTCACCCCATTGTCAAGTTTGTGATACCATCGATGATGTGTATAGTGTTTTTTTTTAATCCATTAAAAAAATTGAATGGAATCCCATGTCTACACTTACGATATACACTGGCGGAGCACCAGTGAGGAATGACAGGTGAGAATGAAAAGATAGGTCAGTTATCCCATCGTGATGAATACATCTGAGATTTAGCACTATGGTTCCCAGGGGATTTATTTTTTGATGGATGAAAATGGTATGATAACCCCGCCTGCGCTAACGGGATACGCTGGCGGAGCACCAGTGAAGGGTGATAGATGAGAATGAAAACAGGCCAGTTAGCCCATCATGACGAGTTCACAAAGAATTAACCATGATAGTTTCCAGGGAGAACCGCGAGGAGGTCAACCTGGCTGGTGGGTATATTGCTAGCAATGGGATTCTTAGTCTCCATCACTAACAATCCCTTTTCCGGGATTTCAGGGGAGATCACGTGGAGGTTGACCTAACAGGGTATATCTCTAGCAATGGAACTGGTAGTCCGCATTACTAAAAATCCCTCCCCCCTGCATATAGTGTTAGAGTGTTGTATAAACTCGATGGAAAGAGAAGAATCCATGCGCCACTTTAACTTAATAAAATATTGATCTTATTCGACATATATTAGCTGAACTTAAATAAACTGAAATTTTTTAACATCTCTCTTAATTATTGGTGCACATTAGTTTTTCTCTTTCCGTGATTAGGGAAAGTAGATACAATTTTATCTAAGAAATCAGTTTAGGGTAAGACAGGATTGATATACTTTTTTTTTTATACAACTTAGAAAGGCAAACAAGCTGACGATCCACCTGATGGAAAGTGGTAACCGTCGCCTATAGACATGAGCAGTACCATGGACATAACAGAGTATACTGTTTCGCCAATGATACCCCCCATGTGTTGCCATTCCTGAGGAATCAGGTGTTATTCCTCTGTACCCAGTAAATTCACGCCATATCCCACCCTTCAAACCGAAACACAGCCATGCAACCACAGCTGCTTCACGGTTGAAACACGAATGAGACAGAGGTACCCAAGCAATCGACCTGAAGAAGGTAAAAGCCCTTAAAATTGAAAAGTAACTTCTAAACGGTAGACTGTAAGAGATTCCACTATAGTTCAAATCTCTCTATTACTTAATCTTTTTTCATGAGACCAATGCAAATAAAAATTTACCGCAAACAATATCTAGAGTGGCTACTGCGCCCCAAGTCGTTTGTCATTTCCGACAAAAACTATATTTGGCCAGCGCATTAGTACCATCGCGTTCCATTCCCTGCCATACTGTCAGTCGTCATATACAGGAAGGTCAAGGCTGAGGGATCGATTGGAACCACCAGGGAAGCGAGGTTTCGTGACTCGCCCGAGTTCGTTTCCACTATCCGTATCTCCCATCTAATGTTCTGTATCGGTATACGAAATCAATTCTGCCGTGTTCCCGGCAATATTACAATGGTGAACTGTCATTGTATTTAAATGGTATAAACGGTATTGTATTTGGTAAATTTTGAATCTGTGCCAGAAACCCAAATAAGTTTAGTAACTACGTTGTTACTGTTAAAACGTACTTATTGTTCATTAGGTAAAAATCGCATTGAATACATGCAATTCTAAAAATATTGAATTCTAAATTCGAATTGAAAACATGCAATTCTAAAAACATTGAATTCTAAATTCAATTTGATAACATGCAATTGTAAAAAACATTGAATTCTAAATTCAATTTGAAAACATGCAATTCTAAAAAACATTGAATTCTAAATTCAATTTAAAAACATTTAATTTTAAAAACATTGAATTCTAAAACATTCAATTCTTAATTCAAATTAAAATTATTGAATTGTCATTTGGATTTATTAATTAATATTTGAATTATTTCAAGTACCCAATTTAATAAAAACTTGTGAGCCTTTATGACAGACTTTGCTTGGTAAGAAGCAGTTTTTTTGCTTCGTAAAAAAACGGCAACCTCAATCGCACGATATTAATATGAGCAGGACCCAAAAAAATATATATATAACTCAATTACGAGCCGAAGGATGGGCAGTAGGGTCCCTCTTACGTTATATTCAGTAATGGGCAGTTAAAGGCTGATGTATGATGGAAGTCGCATAAAACATAACCTATTCGTTTTAGAAGTCGTATAAAACATGTACGAGTACGTACCTAAGTACGTACCGCAAATTTGATTGAGTGATGGATAAATTAGTGAGATCAACATCGCATTGGTCAAGGCCGAGTCAATCAGAACTGCATTGCTACTAGAGTAGATTACCTCACAGACACTTAGATCAAACAATTTGCCATTAAATGCTATTTCTGTCCATGTGTCCGTAACGGGTATTTTTCGGTACGCCAGGACCACACGGCAGCAACTTTGATCACTAACAAGTTGGTTTTTTACATTCCATAATGTTACAAATATATCCACCGTGCGTTTTTCAAGGCGCTTTCTTCCACGCACAACCACTCTTTGGGATCAACTTCCAGCTGCAGTATTTACGAACCGATACGACGTTATAACCTTCAAGAGCATATTCCTTTTTAAAAGGCAGCACACCGGCAATGCCTTTGATGCTGTGGGTGATCATAGGCGGCGGTAGTCAGTTACCATCGGGTGAGCCGCATGTTCGTTTGCCCCTTGTGTTGTAAAAAAATATATATATTACAATATATTTGCCGTATGAACCCGGTATAGAATGGGCCACCCTCGTGGGTGTTGTAAGAGATGACTAAGGAAGCTTAATGGTCAAGGAATGGGATGGAGTCTAACTGCGGTTACCAATACGCCTGCTGAAGTCTGTCTATAGGCAACGGTTACTATTTTCTATCAGGTGGGCCGTCAGCTTGTTTGCCATTTAAAGTTACATAAAAACATTATGTCTTCAATTGTCATAATCTATAAAAATATAAATAACACGCAGTTTTTTTTTGTGGGATGTCATTTGTGTAAATGAGGTCCCAGGTTGAATTACAGGGCAAGTCAATTAAGAAAATGAACTTTTCAGAATTAACTCAGGTCTAGAAATACTCAGTGCATCGCCTTAGTTTCGATCTCTGGTTCCTAATAAAACAGGGTATCCCAACTTGAGGATCAAACGATATATGTGTGTTGTGAAAAAAACACATACGTCGTTGATATATATATATACATATATATACACATAGTTAGGTAATTAGTTGAAGGGACCGCTCATGACATCATAGTTAAGAGTACATATGGCACGGGAGGGGGACCAACCCCTGGGGCGACACGTCTAGACGTGACATAAAATTTATTCGCCACGAATGTCATTTGGGTCACCAGGAAAAAGAGAACCCTCAGTAGGTCAATCCTGTGGAGATTTTCAACCGATTTATTTATTTTATATATATAAGGTACTATAACGACCATCATCCAGGGTTGAACAGTTTTACACTCTCTTTCAATAAAAATTCAAAATGTTACCAAATTTTGTACAAATTACTACTGAAACACTAAAGTGAAATTTATAATAAATCGAAAAAATTTATCGTTTAATCTGTTTTTGATTTGTACTACTGTTGGACATCAGTCACATGATTTTGTGGTTATTTATTTATTTATACAATTGAAGGGTGGGATATGGCGTGAATTTACTGGGTACAGAGGAATAACACCTGAGTCCTCAGGAATGGCGACGCATGGGGGGTATGGCGGGTATCATGGGCGAAACAGTATACTCTGTTATGTCCATGGTACTGCTCATATGTATAGGCGACGGTTACCACTTTCCATCAGGTGGGCCGTCAGCTTGTTTGCCATTCTAAGTTGTATAAAACATACATAAAAAAATATTTCCAAAGTGGGTTGACATCAGGCAGGCGGCTGGTCGTAAAACTATAAGCCAAATACTTAATAATATGAAATAATAATACTCAGTAATATGAATAAAACCATATTACGCCGACCTCAAATAATAACTGGGATAAGGGCAGGAAGATGATGATGCAATGTACGCAATGTATATATATACTTCAACATGTGTATAATTTATAAGTACTTGTAGGCAGGATCTCGGTCTCTTATAGTCTATGATCCAGTAAAGAATATAACTAGAATTGTCTATGATTAGAGCTCATTACCGTTTCGCGCTTGTCTCTGCAATTATATTATAGTTATTCAGTAAATTATAAGGATATATTGCACTTTGATATTACTTTGATATTAAAGACACTTTTTTTTAATAGATGATAATGGAATGGTAACCCCACCAGCGCTATCGGTATACACCGGCGGGGCACTAGTAAAGGATGATAGGTGAGGATGAAGCAGGTCAGTTAGCCCATCGTGACGAATTCAACAAGAATTGTTCACGATGGTTTCCAGGGGGAACCACGTGGAGGTCGACCTAATAGGGCATATTGCTAGCAATGGGGCTGTCAAACTCCATTGCTAACAATCCCTTTCCCCTCGCTGAGATACTATTTGCGTGTACATTATTTATTAGACAGTACATGCTTATATTTAACTCAAATACAACATAAACTTGACAAGCGGGTCGGCAACCGCAGTTAGGCTTTGGTGATATTTTAATCTCATACTTATACTGGCATGAATTTACTGGGTACAGAGAAATAACACCTGAATCCTCAGGAATGGCAACGCATGGGGGGTATCATGGGCGAAACAGTATACTCTGTTATGTCCATGGTACTGCTCATGTCTCTATAGGCGACGGTTACCACTTTCCATCAGGTGGGTCGTCAGCTTGTTTGCTATTCTAAGTTGTATAAAAAAAAACTCATTAAAAGGATATACTCCTTTCAGATAAAAAAGAAAACAGGAGGAGATACTCACCTCCTTCTTTTTAAAGTCGGTTGAAAATTAGATGATTGTAGATATTTACAAACGCCTGCGCATGTTTTTCTTCTAATATTTCAGTTCTTGTAACAGTAACAGGAATGAGAAAATAACAGGCGCTAAAAATGCTCAGCTGGTCTGCATCAGCGGCGAGAGTCCTCGGCAGCCCAGTACACCGCAATTACTACGGGTCGGTACCTACTAGTATTTCATGCAACCTAATTTCATTTATTATTATTATTATTTTCAGACTTTTATAATTACATTTAACAATATGGTTTACTTATCTGTTCCTTGTATAGCCAGTGGCCGAGTATGGGGGCCAGAATACCATTACACAGGGTATCCTAGTATGGATTCTGTCCACTTCCAATGGCGGTCTATATATATATATATATATATATATATATATATATATAAATTTTGTAAAATGAAGTGCCAGAGCTGTTAATAAACTGATACAAATTTTACCCCCGATTTGTACCACATGAAGTTTAATTTCTTGCATACGACGTGCTTGCTATAAGTCTTTCCGAATTTGGCATGACTTCTAGCATATCAACAGGTAATTTATTCTTACACGCTAGAAATCAAGTGGTTGTGTGTAGAGTGGTTACAGAAGAGTGTTCTCTCGCTAAGGTTCAGACTGCGGAATGAGCTCCCTGCTGAGGTTTTTCCCAGAAACTACAATAGGGGGTTCTTCAAAAAGGATATATTAAGGGTTCGTCATGATCGGCAACACGCAAGTGACATCTCTAGCTTATGGGGTATAGCCGATGGGGCTGCAGTGATCGTTTGCCCCCAGACGGGCTGTATGCTTGTTTGCTACCTTCGTGGTATAAAAAAATATGTTTTAGAATAGTTATAATAAAAATTTTACCTTAAATGATATTTAATCCTTAGATACTGGAAGAGACTATTCAGAAGAAAGCCCCCAAGCCACTTTATCAAAAACCTCCTTCTATCAAGGATGCAGAACGTTTTCGGCTCACGTTCAATATTCCAGAGCAGACGGCCGACAAGCTATTTCAATACAGGACCCAATTCGTTCAGCACATGCTCACAAGTCCCATGTATGCCAACAGTGTGGTTGGAAAGCCATGGGAGGTGATTGGCAGGTAAATATAAGTTATAGAATGTTTATGGTATTTCTGTTTTTACCTGACTATGATATACTAATAAAAAGCTTAATATATTGTAGGACAAAAGTAGTCTATGTTCTACTCCACCTCAAACCAAATTTTCTAAAAGATTGGTAAAAGCCGGTTACAAACAAAGTCATTTTCATGTTTATAATATTAAAATATATTATAATTAGTTGATCATTCACTGTGTGGTCCCGGTATAGAATGGGTTATCCCTCCATTTCCTGTGGGTGTCATAAAAGGGGACTAAGGAAACATAATGGTCGGGGGATGGGCAGCAGCGTCCCTCTTTAAACATCTCTAAAAACTACTGGCAAAACCCCTCTTATGGAGGAGGCCTATGTCCAACAGTGGATAATTAATGGCTGATATGATGATGATGATCATCATCATCATCTACAATCGTGACAAATATCTATCAGATTGTTACAATAGTGGTTACGAAAATGCTATGCTTGTATGAAAATTATCTGTCGTTTGAGGCGACCATAACACCAAAAAAATATAAAAATGCAATTCAGCAAATTTAATAAACTTCTGTATGGACAGAGAAGCTAATCTTTATTGCATGCTAACTAAATTATTTTAATGATAAATTTGCTTAATGAAATAATATATAAAATTTTTGCAGAGTCTCCGAGCAAATAATTGATGATTTATTATTAGGATGTGCCAATGAAATGGAACTCAAAGAAGTCATCCAACGTCTATATAATCAAGAAATTAATTGATTATTGTCATATTTTTTTTTTTATATTTCCTTATAAATGTTACACAGTTTTTCAGTAGTTTTTATTGAAACAAATGTTTAGTTTAAATATTTTTTTTTAATTTAATAATATCTTCAATTGTTACATACACATTAACACACTATGACGCTGCTAAGTTTGACACTTCAGTCTTTGAAATATTTTTTGTTCAAAACCATACACGCAATAAAATATTTAAGTTCAGTACTAAGTAGACTTTATAAGTTATTGCTTCTATTCCTGATTGGTCTTAAACTAAAATTCGTAATATATCTGCAAGTCACAATATGAATACTTCCAATATTGATAAATAAGGCACTTAATCATAAGACTGGTAGACGTATCCAATTTCGTAACTTTATAAACTACTACTTGTACCCAATTACACTTTGTCGTCAGTATTCAAACTTTCTCTGAACGAATTTAATACTACACTAAATTTTGCTTTCTGTCGATTCAATGTGTCGTTTTTCTCTGTTTTTGCATTCTTATAAATACTTTCACTGCTAGAAGAATCCGTTTGATACACTTCTTCTGGAGTTGGCGGATTTGATTTCATCAGTCTCGGCTTTACCAGTTTTGTACCACCGTTAGCAAATATCGATTCTAGTTTTGTCTTCAAATCTTGTCTACTCATACTAGAATTTTCGTCATCTTCGACCTGTGTTTCAGGTTCTGTGTCATTGGAATTATCTACAATATTTGTCGGTCGCAAAGTTTTACCTTTATTAGCAATGATTTCTTTCTTCAAATCTTCAAATATCAATGGTCGGTTTGAAGTTGTCGAATCTATATGTTCTGTGGCGTCTCCTATAGAATGTGATCGTTTTCTGTGTTCTTGTTCTTCATTTTCTGTGTTTATTTTATTCTGAAAAATGTTACTTAACTTTGACATGAAATCTATCTGTTTTTCACTACCGAAAATCATATAATCATCACCGTTAGAGTTGTCGCCACTAGGATTATTTGACTGAAGATTCTCTCCAGGTCTGGTTTCTTCCTCCGATTCTAATGAAACGTCAACAGGTTTGATCTTTGCTTTTGGCATTGAATAAGATTTTTTTAGATACGACTTTTCAAAAACATTTTCATCGAATGGTGGCGGAGCTGGTATATAAGGACGAGCTTCCTTGACATCTTCTATTGAATCATTCAACGCCATTTTATCAAATGTATCCGAATACCCTGATTCATCTGTACGAGAATTAGTTTCACTTTGATTAGCTTCTAATATTTTATTCACATGCTCATTTATAGTTTCACCGTCATCTTTTTCTTCCTCTTCACTAACTACTGACAAATCCTCTCTGTGTACTTGTGCTATAACATCATATTTAGATAACCCTTGATTACCTAATGATATATCAGATCCAGCATCTGATAATTCGCCCAAAGACTTTCTTTGAATTACATTCTCGGTAACTTCCTCGTTAACGTTGTTGTCATCTTTTAAACTGATTATTTCACCGTAGCTGTCTTCTTCCGCTTGTAACACTTGATCTAAAAGATCTATTATTTTTGCTTCTTTCTCATAATTTGTTTCTATAACTGCTTGTTGTATTATATTTTCTTCAGTTTTCATTTCAGTGTCATCTTTAATTTCTTCTATAACATTAAGAACAAACTCGCATCTATCATCTATTTGTATGTTGTTATCTATTCCTTCACTATTGCTTCTTACAGTACCAGGAGGTGTAGGTGATTCTACCACAATTTGTACGGACGGCTTTCCATTTTTACCCACATGAGTAAATATAGTTGTATTTTTTTGTAGATAATTGTTCTTATTACGTTTATAGCAGTTTAAACAAAGAACATATACAATTATTCCTGAAAAATAAAAACTACTGATATATTTTGCAAATCAGCTAAACATAAATTCAGAATGACAGTGGTCTATCAAAATTCAACAAAAAATATATTTGTTATGCAACTTAGAATGGCACAGTATACTGTGTCGCCCACGATACCCTTAATGTGTTGCCATTCCTGAGGACTAAGGTTATACATCTTCATATATATACATATATAATTATAGTTTATAAATACCTATTACTGTCCAAACAGCAACACGAATCCAAGTTTGTATGTTAATTAAAACCATCAATTGGATATTGATGTAAATGCTGATGCACGGGATGAGGGGCACCAGTGGAGTCTGCAATTCCAATAAAATAATATATGTATAAGTAAACTCAATGAAAAATAAAATATAAAACATATAAATGTTTTTTTTTTTCTGAATGTGTTTGCTGTTGGCCGTGTGTAGCCTTTACAGCTTCACCGGACGCGAATGCAGGGGCGAGTGCTGATGGCACTCCAAGCCCGCGAGAGGGGAGCGACAGAGGTGTCGACTCTTTCTTATGGACTGCGGTGTGTGTGTGCGCCTAAGGGCGCCAGAGTGGCTCGGCCTCGGCTTAGGCCACCGCACTTCGACCCCCGTCGAGGGACGGCGAAGAGTCGGTACGTCTGGGTGGGTCATATAAATGTAGATATGAAACATAAACGAGTATATAGTAGACCAGAATTCTCCTCTTATATGCTGAATAGTGAGACGGTGATGAGTGTAATGATGAATCTAATATAGAAGATAATATTTATCAAGCAAACCTTAAAATAGATATCTTCTTTGACCTTCGGCTGCATTGCCATAACGATAATTATAAAGAAAGCTACAGCGTGCAGGACACCAAGAGGTACCGGTACATTCTCACCATACACTCCCACTAATGCGATTATTATGCAGATAAATACTGAAAAAAAAAGTATTTATTAATTTATTTAAACAACTTTATTGACCAAAATAAAGTACCAAAGGCGGTTATAATGCTAGTAGCATCCTCTACCAGTAAATGTAAATAAATTATTAAAAATTAATATTATTTATTTATAATATGTAATAATAATCAAATTATTAATTTAAATAAAAAATAAATTAAAAACTTACTGAATAATATAAGTGTGGTATAAATAACACGGGTGGATATTTTCGACGGTGGTGAACGACAGCCAAATATTTGTTTGTGATAACTCTGCGATACGGTAGGGATAGCGTCGGAATAGTAGCTGCAAGTAATAAAATAATTAACATTGTGTTTCATAAAAAAAAAAAACTATTTCAATTGTGGCAACATTAATTTTGTTTTTAAAACGTAAGATACTGAACTGACTTTGATGAAACGTCTGTGCTACCAATCTGGTATAATTATATCCCCACAGACAAAAAAAAATTCCAAATCTGCTGAACTTAGGCCTCCCTCATAAGTTTTGCCAGTAGTTGCCGTGCTTGGCAGGCGGCTTGGCAACCGCAGTTAGGCTGTTGGTAATGTTTTAAGAGGAACACTGCTATCTACCCCTCATCCATTAAGTTCTCTTAGCCGCCTCTTACTACACTAATGGGGAAAAAAGGTGTGGCCCATTCTATTCCGAGATCACACAGCACTTTATAATAGTGTACATTTCCAAGTGTATCTTTATTTCAGGAGAATGTGGGCAGTGAATTCACAGAGTACAGAGAAATAACACCTTAGTCCTCAATAATGGCAACGCATGGTAGGTATCATGGGCGAAACAGTACACTCTGTTATGTCCATGGTACTGCTCATGTGTATTGGCAACGATTATCACTTTCCATCAGGTGGGCATTCAGCTTGTTTGCCATTCTAAATTCCATAAAAAAAATTACAAATTTACTACATTTTCATTCATTAACTTTTTAAGAAAAAATATTATACCGTAATACGATAACGGAGACAGCAACAAGAGTGTAGGAGAGGAGTGTTCCGATGCACATCATCATAATGAGCTGATTTGTCTCCAAAACTCCCGCCAGTACAGCTGTGAACCATAAAAAGTATGCATGATCATTTCTCGTTTTTGTAAATACATATTTGATCCTTGACCCTTTGACAGATGAGGATCATAGGTTAAGGTCATCATAATTATCAAGTCAACCATTATCTGACCTCTGCTGAACATAGGCTTCCCATGCACTCTAAGATTCAAATATTGAACCTTAATATTTTTAAGGTTTTTCCAAATCCCGATTTAACCCTTCTTTGCATAATGATGGAAATTTCCACCATAACATCGAATGACCAAAAATTATTTAAAAGACCAAGTTCACTTTAAGTTGATCGTGTCTGGATACCTTTTTAATGTCCACTGCAGAAAAAAAAACATAGCTGTCAAATTTATTTTTTTAACCTTTTTTCCTTTCATTTTGAACGTGAATTATATCACCTTGATTTATTTCACCAATAACAAAAAACCAGTAATTTTGATTGAAATACCAAACTACTGTACCGTATTTGAAGCCGGTTGTAAAAATTCAGCCTTACCTATTATAATAGTAGGAACAATTGTGGCAGCAGCTGGGGTCTTCCGCTTCTTCGTAACATTGTTGAACCAGTGCAAGGATAATCCATCGGACGACATGGCATACAGTAGCCGAGGCAACGGATACATGGCACCTATGAGGCTGGAACCAGGAAATAATTCAGCAATAATTTTCTCCCGCGAACGCTCAGGCTGTGGAATGAGCTAGTTCGCTCCTGCCGAAGTTTTTCCTAGACACTACAATATGGGATCCTTCAAAAAGGATATATTAAGGTTTTTTCGTTGTCGGCAACGTGCACGTGACACCTTATGTTGCAGGCGTCCATAGGCTACAGTGACCATTTACCATCGATGGGTTGTATGCTTATTTACCACCATCGTGATATAAAAAAAAAATACTTTATACAATTTTTGATTTGAGATAGAAAGAAAAAAGAAATAATTTAATCAAAGAAGCATGCGACTCACACAGTAGCACACAAAACAAGAACAAAAGAAATAAAACAAAAAAAAACATAGTATACAAATAAAAAGCGTTTCCTGCTCAGATAAAATTTAATTAAAAAAAAACAATAATAATAATAAATAAAAAAACAATAGGATAACTCTGTCTTGATAGAATAAAACATTCGTCATAGATCAGCTACTCAAATTTAAAATGATAGACAAAATACTCTATAGTCGAGGCTTAGAAGTATAATAGATTGGCCTAAACTACAGCATCAAAACGCTATCCTAATTGAGAAAAATATAAGATAGTTTTGCGAAGCTATCACCCGTATTCCAGTAATAGGATGGAAAAGGGAAAGGAGTATATGAGTTTTGACCAATTCCCTCTGACCCTCTTCAAAATACTTTTATCTAGCTCTGTCCTGTGGCTTTGATCTAGTAAATTTTAACTATTTATTTGTGGTCCATCAGTGCATATAATACATTCAAGTCTATTTGTCCATTTCAAGCATCCAAATATCTTTACAAATTTTCACATTATTTATATTATATAAAATTAAAGTGATTAAAAAAGTACAAGATTTTCGTTACCTGGCACAAATGCCACATATGGTCCCGACGTAAATGATCCACTTGGCCCATTCCCAGCCCACGTAAGAGAAGGCGGCGGCCACCGTTGCTATACTATCCTGAAATGAGTTAGACGTGACTGTATTATTAATACTGACATGCGAATGGAAAGAGCATCCCTCTTTAAATGTCTTCAAGGCTTAACTGCGATTGCCAAGCCGCCTGCCAAGCGTAACTACTGGCAAAACTCCTCAATAGAGGGAGACCTATGTTTTTTTTATACAACTTAGCTAACGGCCCACCTGATCGAAAATGGTAACCGTCACCTATAGACATAAGCAGTACCATGGACATAACAGAGCATACTGTTTCGCCCATTATATCCCTATGCATTGCCATTCCTGAGGACTCAGGTGCTATTCCTCTGTACCCTGTAAATTCATGTAATATCCCACCCTTCAAACCGAAACACAGCCATGCAAACCCAACTGCTTCACGGTAGAAACACTAATGAGACAGAGGTACCCAACAATCGATTTTTATACAAAGTTGAGCAGTGGAGAATTGACGGTTGATATGGTATAGTATGGTATGGTATATCAATTTAGTAATGTAAAAAGCAGAAATCACATAAGGTTTTCGGGAAGATCTATGTCAAGGCTGCATACAGGCTGGAATGATGACCATTGGTAATAAAATTTTTACGAGATTAATAAAATTAAAAAGTATTTAATACAAACCTGTTGATGGTAGGGTACCATTGTAGTGATAACTATAGACACAGCGGCGTAGATGCAAAATAAACAGCCCAGCGCAATCAGGATCGTCATTGGAATGGATTTGCGTGAATCACGAGCCTGGAAATTAAAAAAGATTAAAAGGAAAGCGAAAATTTAGGATAAAGGCAACTGTACTTAGATAGAACAGCACAGGGAAGCAAAGGATACTTGCAGACACTTTTTAAAAGAAAGAAAAAAATAAAAAGGAAAAGTTACCCTCTGAAGCCAAATATGTATTTTTTTTTTGCACTTACCTCTTCAGCAGCAGAAGTTATGGTATCAAAACCAACAAAGGCGTAAAAGCAGACTGCCGCACCTTTCATAGTTCCCATTACTCCATAGGGAAAGAATCCACCTGATCCGTTCTCGGGAGGTAATTCATTTTCAGATATGTACCAATTTTCAAAGCTTGCTGAAAATTAATATATAAAGAATAACTGAAGATTTTTATAAAAATAAAATAGCAAATGAAAATACAACTCTTTTTTTACAGACAGACCTAAAGAAGCTTGCAATTTTAAGATATCACGCTCATGTTGCCAATCTTGGTGACATAAAGATCAAGTCACAGTATCGATAATTTCTCTGCCAAAAATGAACGAATGAATGGTTTATTTTCTCTTCACAAAAGGCAGTAAAAAAGAAGAATTTGAATTACAATTAAATATGTAAGACCAATTTTGGGAGATACTGGTACTTGCAGTAGGTTTTGAAGAACCTGTATTACAAGTCATAATCCTTCCAACTTGTACACAATAATTGTTAACAATGTAATATATCAGGTCAGCCTCCACACAGTTCCACCAAGAAACCATCGTGGTTGATTCTTGTAGAATTCATCGCAATGGACCAATTCAATTGGTCTGTTTTCATTCACCCCAGCATATACCGATAGCGCAGGTGGGGTTGCCATCCCCTTTTCACCCATTAAAAAAAGAAAATACAGCTTTCTAAACAACTAGCTACATTTGCAGGTATGGTAATTAGGCTTGGAATATTTCACATGTCACAAGTGAAATTTCATATGCCACGCCAAATCATATGTCACTCCAGCTAAGTTACTTCACAAAAAGTGATACAAATCACTCTAAATAAAATTTTAGGTATTGAGATTGAAATTTTAATAATTTATTTGCTGGAATAAGGTACATTTTTATAGGTGTTACTTTACAAGAAATATAGTCCAATCTTATTCTGCCACACTGTAGGCGTGCAAATATAAAAACTTATTAAACAAATTCTTATTAAACAGATATTCACTATGTTCGGATTTATTCGTGAATCATCGACTAAGCTCGATTAGCAGTGAAGTGAAATCGCATCAGACGACCGACTGTACCGTACATAGCGAGCGAATAGACTTTATTACACTGCATTAAAGTGTCTATTCGCTTGCTCTTATTATAAAAATCTTAACTCATATTTCACATTAAATAGCAACTAGCAGCGAGTGCGACATAAGGTCATGCATGCGAAAATCACATTTTATGATTTGTCACAGGTGATATCACTGTAAATAAAAATAATAATTTCACTATAATTATAATGAATTAAATGTAGCTATAATATTATTGTCTAATGATAATTAACGGAAAAATATAAACGTACAGTTAACAGCACCCCCCACGATTATGAAGACGATGATAATCATATTGAGTGCGGTGAGAGCGTTATTTACAAGGATCGACTCCCGCGCACCCCACACCAACAGCGCTGTAACAATAAACACACAAACATCATAATATTTTTATTAGAGTTATCATCGTGCCTCCGATCAAATTGTTTATAATTTTTTAGCTATGAGAATTGTCGATGATCCCAGGCTCACAAGCGGTATCGAACCCTTAAGTCTTAGGAGAGATTTTGCCTCACTCTGCGTGTTCTACCGCCTGTACAATGGATTGTACTCAGAGGAATTGTTCAATATGATACCCACAACTACTTTCTACCATCGTACGGCTCGCCATCGACAGGGAGTCATGTCCAGTCATGTCTAGTCATCCTCATGTCCTACAACCTCAATGGTCGCGTACTGCGCGGTTTCAGAAATGTTTTCTCCCACGAACACTCAGGTTATGAAATGAGCTCCCTGCCCAAATTTTCCCAAAAGACTACAGCATTGGGTTCTTCAAAAGGAGGTAAAAAGATTTCTTCAGAGTCGACAACGCGCGCGTAATACCTCTGGTATTGCAGGCGTTCATAGTCTACGGTAACCACTTACCATCAGATGGGCCGTATACTTGTTTGCCGTTTCAGTGGTATAACAAATTTCGCCCATTGTTTTCTCACTGTGATCATTTCTTGTAATTGTTTGTATCTATAATAAATTTACTATTGTAATCGTTTAAAGGAAACAATGAACTGTAGGTATCTATCTATTTGTTGTATGATAGTTATTTAGATAGTCAGTTAAAAAAATCATCAGAATTGTTGAATGAAGACAAATTTATATTAGAAACTTACACTTTATCCACGTAATCAAGATATAATCACTGATCGGGATTAAAAAGTAGTCATCCCATATAATATATTTAAACTAAATTTCACATACATACATACATATCTGTCACGCCCGTCTCCCATTAGGGTTGGCAGAAACAATGGAACGCCAAATGCTTCGATTCAAACAAACCTCTTTCGCTTCCTCCACATTTATCAATCTTTTCATACACGCTCGCCGGTTACGGGTACTTTTAATTTGGCCCTTCTTCAGCACGTCGTCTATTCGGTCGACATACGTCCGTCTAGAGCGGCCCCTACCGACATATCCATTCATTCTTGCTCGATAAATCTCTTTCGTAATTCTTCCTTCATCCATCCTCTCCAAATGGTCAAACCAACGCAACATTCTTTAAATTCATCCAAATCCACAGTGATCAGTTAAGTCGTTAAAACGATAAAAAGGTGACAAACAAACTCACTTTCACATTAATAATATTAGTAAGGATTATAATTATTAAAATCAGGTTTACCTCCCAATATCAGAACGAGGAAGAACGCGAAGAAGTCGAAGTACTGTGAGAAAGGAGCGTCGGCAACAGAAGCAAATGTCGTGAACCATTCCGACATAGAGTTATTGACCGTCGAGTCTACAAACAAGCTCAGTCCTCGGGCTATACTGGCTGTACCTGAAAATTATATTTTGAAGTCTTTAAATCACCGAATATTTATATAATTAAACTTTTTGAAAAAGGCAACAGCTGAGTTTTTGCCTATTCTTCTTGGCTGAAATTGCGTTACGAATGGGCAGTAATGAAAAACTGAACAGAGGTGGCCAAGTAAACGACTTTTGTACGAAATCTCCCTCTGGTTAAAAATAATTAAATAAAACTAACCGAATAATCCTTCCAGTATATTGTTCCATCCAACCACGAATGCAGCGAGCTCCCCTACGCTGACGTAAGTATAAATATACGCCGAACCAGCCCGTGGTACTCTCGACGCAAACTCTGCGTAACACAGCGCTGAAAAGTGTTTAGATATTTTTTAATCCTATCTTTTTTATAACACCTACAATGACGACTGTTGCTGCTTGCCACATAAGGTATATTTGCAATATACTCTTTCAGGTCGACCACCACGCAGTCCCTTTAGAAACCGTCATGATTGGGAGGAGAAGGTATTGTTAGTATTAGAGATTAGCGATCCCATTGCTAGCAATATACCCTGTTGGGTCGACTTTTACGCAGTTTCCCCTGGAAACCATCGTGATTGCTTTATTGTTGAATTCGTTACGATGGGCCAAATGAGCTATTTTATCAGCATCATCAAAGTATACCGATCATCCCTTACTGTATACTGATGGCGCAGGCGAGGTAATCATTCCATGGATGATAACCATTAAGAAATCCATCGTTATTAACTCTTGATGAATTTCGTCACGATGGGTCAACTGACCTGATTTCCCTCTACCTATCATCCCTCACTGATGTCCCGCCAATGTAGACCGATAGCGCAGACGGGCTACTATTTCATTTTCATCCATTAAAAATAGCATACCTGCAAAGAAAGCAGCGACTGCGGCTATGAGGAAGGACAGCACGACGGATGGCCCGGCCAGTTTGTACGCGACGTACCCCAGCAGCAGGTATACGCCGATACCCAGGGTGCTGCCCACGCCCAGACCCGTCAGCTCCCAGCGGCTCAGGCATCTGGAAGACCACAGTCACATTTTAAGGACTAAGAAATGAAAAGCTTTTACCTTTAAAATTCAAACGCTCAGGGTGCAGGAGGATCAGTGGATTAATCTTCCTGCACACGTTTTCTTACGATATTAAGGTCGTTATTTTCAATGATGTAAGAATATTTCACAAAAACTACTTCAATTTAAAATTTAAACGACTGAACCGATCTTGGTAAAATTTCTATTTGTCCAAGCTGCACAAACATGCTTTCAGATAAAGAAAGAATTTTCAAAATCAGTTTTATAACTGATGGAATTATGAGGTAACAAACATTAAAAGGAACCTAAATGAGAACGTCCTTCTTTCTAAAGTCGGTTGAAAAGAGCGTTATACGGTTACAATTTGGAATGGAGAAGAACATAGGGTAAAATTTTTGATGCAACTTAGAATGGCAAACAAGCTGACGGCCCACCTGATGGAAAGCGGTAACCGTCACCTATAGACATGAGTAGTATACCATAGACATAACAGAGTATACTGTGTCGCTTATGATACCTTCCATGCGTTGCCATTCCTGAGGACTCAGGTGTTATGTCTCTGGCTAACTTGTAAATAAATACATTACCTTCTTAGATTCCCAGCGTCCAACTGCTCTGGAGTAAACACACGCGTCCTCTTAACGGAAGTCCAGAACGCTGTACAAGCCATTTATTAGCCCACACCAGCCTCACTGGGATCCCGCATCTGGACAGCTTCACACTACCTACAACATATATATATATATAATAAGGCATATTGCTAGCAATGGGGCTGTCAAACTCCATTGCTAACAAGCCCTTTCCCACCCACCCACCTGGGGTTGGCAACCGCAGTTAGGTTTTCAGAGGGGCGCTGCTGCCCATCTCTCGCCCTCCCTTAGTCACCTCTTACGACACCCACGGGGAAGGAAGTGCTGGCCTATTCTACGCCGGGACCACACAGATAACGATGTATAGTGATAATGAAAGCTTGTTTTAAAAATGTTTTTCAATAGACTTATTATACGTATTGCATCTTTTATATTTTATAAAAGACTACAACTGTGACAAAACCACTTTAACTGAAACAAAACTAAACTGTTAACTGATTTTGTTAAAATGTCTATCTATAAGGATCAATCTGTAAGTATGTATGTCCTTTTAAATTTAGATTACATTTTCTGTTCTGTTAAGTGTTCTGTTTTTTTTTTCTTTTATTCATTGTTTTTATACTTATTTATTTGAGTTTTTGTTTTTTTTTTCTTTTACTTTTTGTGTAATATCATATATATATATATATATATATATATATATATATATATATATATATATATATATTATATATATATATATATATATATATATATATATATATATATATATATATATATATATATATATATATATATATATAACTATTTGATAATGAAACGGTGCCCCGTGTAGGTGCAAACTGAAAATCAGCGCTGACCGAACATCAGTCTAGCAAAAGGTGAGTTTGTACCTATTGCCAGGCGCATACGAATACTGCACAATATATTGATTAATTAATATATGTACATTATAATTTCTGTGAAGAATGGCAATAAATTTAATTATTATTATTATTAAAAAAAAAAATAAGAAATTTTCCAAATCGGTTTACAACTGACGGACTTTTCTAACAGACCCTCGTTTAAAGATGCGAGTCTGGTGTATGATATGGTTTGATGTAGGTATTAATGTAGATCTACATTTCACCATAAATTATTAAATTTATTACCAGAGGGAGACTTTGTACAAAAGTCGTTTGCTTGGGTATCTCTGTCCCATTCGTGTTTCTACCGTGAAGCAGTTGTGTTTTCATGGCTGTGTTTCGGTTTGAAGGGTGGGATATGGCGTGAATTTACAGGGTACAGAGGAATAACACCTGAGTCCTTAGGAATGGCAACGCATGGGGGGTATCATGGGTGAAACAGTATACTCTGTTATAACCATGGTACTGCTCATGTCTATAGACGACGGTTACCACTTTCCATCAGGTAGGTCGGCAGCTTGTTTGCCATTCTAAGTTGTATAAAAAAAAGTAGTTTTTTCTTTCTCTCTTTCCCACCTATATATATATCATATAAATGTTCCACGACATTCCTTTCGTTCCTTTTTCGTTGATTTTGCGGGCGGTATCTTTTGATTGTTAAAATGTATACAATGATGTTCTAAAACTGATTAAGTTATGATGTGACTGACGTACCTAAAATGACTAATGTCCCTAAATAAAAAAAGATAAAAAACTAACGGAGTTATGAATGAATGAATGAAATTTATTGCTATGAAGTAACAAACATAGAATAAAGAAGTAAAAAATTCTTAAGTTAAATCAATAAAAATACAAATACATTGGCGATTTAATAAATCTAAAACCAGTTGTGTATTGATATAAATTGTCAGTAAGTACGTACGTACTGTAGCTACCTATTAATCTAAGAGCATACTGGACCAAATCTTATCTAAGATCAGTTAGTCTTATCGTATCGGTTAAGTTAATCTTTCGATTCGCATTACACAATAAGATTGTACTGTAATATTCAGTTTCTGAAACTGTAGTAATCTTTCTAAATACCCAGTAAATTCACTGCCACATCCCACTCTTCAACTGAAATACAGCCATGCAAACACGATATACCTTTTTAAAAGGCCGGCAGCACACCTGCAATGCCGTTGGTGTTGTGGGTGATCATGGGCGGCGGTAGTCACTTACCATCAGGTGAGCCGCAGGCTCGTTTGTCCCCTGTGTTGTAAAAAAAAAACTGCTTCACAGTTCAAACACGAATGGGACAGAGGTACCCAAGCAATCGACTTTTGTACAAAGTCTCCCTCTGGTGATTTGTATACATTGAAGTAAGTATTTAAATTGTTTACAGTCCACACCTTAGATTGCAAACCTACCTTATTTTTGGCGCACCTGCAGGCAAACAGTTGACTCACTGTATATTCAGAAACGCCATAAGTAATTAATACGAAACACATTAAACCGTGTGGTCTCGGCATAGCATGGACCGCTCATACATTTCCCTTAGACGTCTTAAGAAGCGACTAAGAATTTTAAGTGGTCAAGGGACGGACAGCACCAAAGCCTAACTGCGGTTACTAGGGGAGAAAGGGATTGTTAGTGATGGAGACTGAGAATCCCATTGCTAGCAATATACCCAACCAGGTCGACCTTCTCGCGGTTCTCCCTGGAATCTATCATGGTAAATTCCATTATGATGGGCTAACTGGCCTGTTTTCATTCTCATCTATCACCCTTCACTAGTGCTCCGCCAGCGTATCCCGTTCGTTCCTACTATTCAATTTTCAACCATAAAAAAAACTTAGATTACTAACCCGTCTGCTAAGTGTAGCAATTAGGCAAAGCTAAAAAATTGGGAACGCCTACATTCAGTAGTGGACAGTTAACGACTGATGTTGAAATGATGATGATGAGTGGTATTATGGACATGACAGTGTATCCTGGGGGGAAAGAGATTGTCAGTGATGGAGACTAAGAATCCCATTGCTAGCAACATACCCAACCAGGTCGACCTCGTTGTTCCCCCTGCAAACTATCATGGTTAATTCTTTGTGAATTCGTTATGATGGGCTAACTGGCCTGTTTTCATTCTCATCTATCACCCTTCACTGCTGCTCCGCCAGCGTATCCCGTTAGCGCAAGCGAGGTTACCATGCCATTTTCACCCATCAAAAACAAAAGACAATGTATCCTGAAATATCTATATCATCAGGGTATAATAGAGTAGTCCATATCGACGAGTACCATTTCTTGTTTGATACACCATGGGATTGTTTGCCATTCCAATTTTTTCATAAAAATAAAAGAATAAGGTATAAAATTTTTGGGAACAATCTTCAATTACTTCAGAGTCGACATCACGTGGACTGTTAATTTGACATTCTGTCTTATACATAACAAGGACATCTCCAGGGACGACCACGTGTAAAATTGTACCTCAATTTGGAATCGTTTACAGACTATTTTGTCCACTTACTATCAGTCGAACCGTATGCTTCAACACTAATCTCGTTTAAACTTCACAATTTTATCACTACATCAATAATTTTAGTTTAGTTACACTAAATAGAAGCAACAAAACACTGTTTCACATCACCGCATTTATACAATGGACCAATTTGGGTGAGATCATAAAACAGAGCAATCGAGTAACACGAGAGTAACTAAACGCATACCTACGATAACATCGAGTTTGATAAGATAAAAAATAATAATCTAAAGTTGTCTCACGCGGTTAAAACTAAGAAAATGTTTACAGTAACTGCGAAACGGTTTGTGACTTCTTTTCCTAGGTTTTGGTGAGTTTATCTCGATTCGTATTGGATTTTACGCGTTGCCGTGATTTTTTTATACAACTTAGAAAGGCAAACAAACTGACGGCCCACCTGATGGAAAGTGGTAACCGTCGCCTATAGACATGAGCAGTACCATGGACATAACAGAGTATACTGTTTCGCCCATGATACCCCCCACGCGTTGCCATTCCTGAGGACTCAGGTGTTATTCCTCTGTACCCTGTATAATAATCATTCATAAGTCTTTTGGCAGCTCTGAAATATGATTAATATTAAGGCATTTTTATTACAATGAGGAAAAAGTTCGCTATCAGAGCCGCAAAGTGCTCCGCATCGGAACTAATATTTACACAATTAATACTGTAGTATAATTTAGTATATTTATTTTATTGTATTACTAATTAAAACACGTACATATCTTAATACAGTTTCTAGTAATTCCCACAATTCGTCATTCAGTATTTAGAATGATATTAATATGTCTCTGACGTATAATGACGAAGTCTCTTTCGTGTGAGGAATAAGAAATGGTATACTGATACGTCAGCCCCGTCAGCGTATACTGATACGCTGACGGGGCACCAGTAATAGTACATTACTGCAGCGGCCAGCAACTAAGGCATTGATGGACGAAAGTGCAACTGTGGGGCGAGACGTAGCCGAGGCACACATACGTGAGTCCATCAATGCCTAGTTGTGGCCAAGGCTTGTATAGTACTTTTCTCAAACAGTACGCGGAAATCAAAAACACAATTTTACTTTTTAAGTTCAATGACGAGTAACGAACAATGATAATTTTCATATAATTCACGCGCCATAATGTTCCTTTGTTTTTTTTTTCAATAAACAGCTTTATATTTGCAAGCCAGATCGAACTTTAAATAAAACCTTTTATTAGTTACCTCCTTGGTAGCCATGTTTCATAGTAAAAGGTCATTCCATTTTTAAATTACAGTACAGATATGAGTTTACATAGTAATTTATCTGGCCGCAAAACACGACAGATATAGATTTTCATACAACTTTTGCCGGCCGCTGTCCGCTTGTATCTGGCCAGTACGGCAATTTTGATTTATCTCTAAGAAGTTTGTCAAAATAATGCTCACATTTCCAAGCATGTTTGAGAAAGAGATCATCGTCATCAGTAATCACCAAGCAGTGAACTGTCGACAGCTGAACATAGGTCCCCTTCATAGGCCCCCAAGTCACCTGCATTGACTGACTCCCTGCATTGCATTTGAGGTCATCGCACCATCTAGTGAGGGGGGAGGGAGAAAGGATTGCTAGTAATAGGGATTAGCAACCCTATTACTAGCAATATACCTATTCAGGTCGACCTCCTCGCGGATCCCCCTGGAAAACATCGTGATTGATTCATTAGTGAATTTGTCACGATGGAATAATTGACCTGCTTCATCGTCACTTATCATCCCTCACTGGTGCAACGCCAGTTTACCGATAGCGCAGTCAGCGTTACCATTCCATTATCATCCATTAAAAAAATCTAGTTGGGGATCGTCCACCCGAGTATTTATTTATTTATTTATTTAAGGAACACCAACAGCACATTGCATTATAACATATAGGTATAACAAACATTAAATACAATACGATATTAATGCACATGCCTATTAAAGGTATACTTAAGTATATTTAAGTACCTTTCTTTCCCACCAGTTGTCGGTTCTTTAAGCTATGTGACCAGCAAATTGCCACTTCGGCTTACTTATCTTTCAGTATGTTGTATAAATATAGGTATAAATCTCCAATTTAGGCACTTTTTAGGTTAACACTCTTGTTATTATATGAAAAACTAAGAAAAACAGAGGTTTCGTGACTCATTTATTGGTTATTTTTAATTTAATAATTTGTTAATTATTCCATTTAACAATTTTTTTTATATACCACTTAGAATGGCAAACAAGCTGACCGACCACCTGGTATGTATGGTATGGTAAGTTGTAACCGTTGCCTATAGACATGAGCAGTACCATAGACATAACAGGGTATACTGTTTCGCCCATGATACACCACATGCGTTGCCATTCCTGAGGACTCAGGTGTTATTTCTCTGTACCCTGTAAATTCACTGCCGTTGCATAAAAAAAAGTATCTGTTAAAACTTATATTATATTAACCTCTTTAAAACACGCTGCTCCGTAATCAGTGACTAATTTATTAAGTTCATACAAAACAAAGGCTTCACATTATCCGAACAGATTTACTTAGACGTGTGTTTATTTGCATTATACAATTTACGCCTTATTTCCTCATGTGTACGGGTAAAAGGTGGAATTCCCTCTCAAGGTTTGTTTTCCAAAACATTATAACTAATTTAAATAACTTCAAAGCTAAAATAAATTGGCTATATATGGGTTAGCGAGCTCCAGCTTCGAAAAAGTAATCATAGGGGTTAAAACCCCATTTTACACGAATTGTTACAGGAATTGCTTTGTATGTATAACCCGCCGAAATTAATAGGCCTCTAGCACTGAGGGTGTAGTATTAACGAACTAGTCCATTTAAATCGGCAGGTTATACAAAATAATTTAAAAAAACGAACGTATAAATAAATTACAAATCGGTTTATAAATGATAAAATTTTGAGGTAACAAACACAATAAAAAAAATCCGTAATGACACCGTAACTATTTATCAGATTCGTGTTTTATTTAAATGAATGATAATGGAATGGTAACCCCACCCGCGCTAGTTAGCCCATCGTGACGAATTCAACAAGAATTGTTTCCGATGGTTTCCAGGGGGAACCACGTGGAGGTCGACCTAATAAGGCATATTGCTAGCAATGGGACTGTCAAACTCCATTACTAACAATCTCTTTCCCCCCATGCGAAAATGAGTTTGTTTGCTATCTTATAGCGCCTTAACGACTTAACCAATTACTATGAAATTTGGTATATATTTATATTAACAGTCTATATAAGATGGAGAAGGATAAATTTTTATCCCGGTCAGTAAACATATCCCGACTACGTGGACGAATCCGTAGGTAAAAGCTAGTAATCATTATCAGCATATCAGCCAATAACTGCCCACTGCTGAACATAAGGGATTTTGCCAGTAATTACCACCCTTGACAGGCAAATTGGCAACTGTAGTTAGGCTTCTGGTGATATTTTAAGAGGGACGCTGCTGTCTATCACTCGGCCATTATGGTCCCTTAGTCGACTCTTACAGGAAAGAAAGTGATGGCTCATTCTATGCTGGGACCACACAGCGTTGAAATCTAATATTTTAATTAGAAAGTTTATCATACCTGAAAACGATTCCTTCTATATTAAAGACGACACAACAATGTCTACACCTTTATATGAAATTTATATATACATATATATCTTAACTAAATAAAAAAATATTTGGTTAAGGTTATAAACACTATAATATGATTATCACAAAACGTAAGCACAAAACTGTAACTTATTTTCACTTAATTAGTATTTAGAATCGATATTTCAGTTATTCCAAATCTTATTTCAGGTTTATTATAATGTTTTACTAGATTCTCGTGTATAAAACAATACGGACTGGTGGCTCGCTGGCTGAAACTGTCTTATCTGATAACCGCTACAATTGATTGGTATTTGATTATGTTATCGTAAATTTATGACGAAAGATGAATCCGTTTGAAGCAGCGTGTACAAGATCAGCGGGTCTACCTTGAAATGAAATTCCGAAATTTCGGACTCAATTTCGTGTTTTTGTTTATACCTAAATAGGACCAATAAATGGAGTTTAACATTTCGTTAGTTATACATCCTATTATAAAAGTCCAAAGGAACAATATTTTAACATTTTTAATATTTCCAAAGGGCATGTATTATGTTTTTTTTTACAACGCAGGGGGCAAACGAGCATGCGGCTCACCTGATGGTAAGTGACTACCGCCGCCCATGATCACCCACAACACTAAAGGCATTGCAGGTGTGCTGCCGTTTTGTGTGCCGGTTCGTTTCTTTTGTTCTTGTTTTGTGTGCTACTGTGTGAGTCACATGCTTCTTTGATTTAATTATTTCTTTCTTTCTTTCAATACTTCTTTGATGATAAAAAGAAAGTTGTCGAAATCGGTTTAAAATTGACAAACGTGGCAATATTAATACAAATTTAAATTGTCATTCTTCTTAATTGAAATAAATGAACAATCATGTGGACAAATGAGCAAGGCTCGAAATAAAAGCCGTTATAATTTAAGGTGTTCTTTTTAACCGACTTCAAAAAAGGAGGTTACCAATTCGCATGTATTTTTTTTATGTTTGTTACCTCAGCATGCGGCTCGCATGCTCGTTTGCCCCCTGTGTTGTAAAAAAAAAAAGAAATAAATAGAATACAAAATAACAACGTTTTCTGTTCAATTAAAGTCTAAATTAAAATAATAATAAATAAATAAATAAACAGTTGGATAACTCTTGAATCTAATATCAATCCAATGTACTGCCAATAACAATGTTGTACTGCACTCATGAAGCAACAGTTAGGAATTAGGTTAGAATTAGAAACGATATGCAATAGTTTGTATTAGCAAATTACAATAATATTGAAGGAAGTATTTATTGTTATTATTATTTATTTCAAGTAAACATATACATAGACAGTATATATACTTGGTGCCGCAAAACTGCATTGCAGTTTGTCTGCAGCTTTACGCTCTTGTACATGCAGCTTTTTGAACAATTATAAACTTATATCCTAATTCTACATACTAAACTTATATCTTTATACATACACTAGCTGACTCGGTAAACGTTGTTTTACCATATACATTATTTCTAGAACTATACATGAAAATATATCGTACTACAATTATTATATTCGATTGTCACCTTGCAGCCCTATTGCGGAATATAAAAATCGCGATTAAACAACAGGGAGTTGATCGTAAAAGGGTAAAAATTTTAAGCTGTATGTATTTTTCAATGCTAAATCATAGTAAAATAAAAATAAAAAAAACAATTGTCGAAAAATAAAAAAAAAATTTTGGGGTGGGTCACCCTTATCATTATGCAGTATGAAAAATAGATGTTGGCCGATTCTCAGACCTATCCAATATGCACACAAAATTTCATAAAAATCGGTAAGGCCGTTTCGGAGGAGTTTGGTAACAAACACCGCGACACGAGAATTTTATATATAAGAAATACACAGATATGCATATATACACATACATATACAATACAGACACACATGCATATACTAAGTGGACGTTACCCCCATACAAACTGTAATCAATTTTTTCCTAAAACTAAATTAAATTAAACAATCGTTATATTAGAGGCAACAAAATCACCAGCGCTGTATTAGTGTTATCCGATAGATATGTACCTTAGTTTCCTTGACGCAATGCGATTAGATTACATTTTAATTATCGATTTAAATTTTTTTTTTTTTTGTTCATGTTGTTAATTCTCTGGTATTCACACATAATTGTGACATGACACATTAGTGATAACATCACTGTTCGTATCGCCAATTATTTATGATAAAATCTCAAGTACCTATACATAGGGATATATTAAAATTTCTTGACCAATTAAAATGTTAAAGTTTTATTGGTTAAACTATTAATTTACCTTTGTTTATTGAGATTAAAAAAGAATTTTGGAAATCAGATCACATTTCAAATTCACATTTAAATCATCTTTTTTTCAAATAGACTTGTTTACAAGCACTTTAAATTTTTTTTTTATATTGAAGAAGCAAAAGAGGTTTGTTGGGGAAATGGATTGTTAGTAATGGAGACTGAGAATCCTATTGCTAGCAATATACCCAACCAGGTCGACCTCCTCGCGGTTCCCCCTGGAAACTATCATGGTTAATTCCTGATGAATTCATCATGATGGGCTAACTGGCCTGTTTTCATTCTCGTCTATCACCCTTCACTGGTGCTCCGCCAGCGTATCCCGTTAGAGCAAGCGGGATTACCATACCATTTTCATCCAACAAAAAAAAAAGAGGTTTGTTTGAGTCGAAACATTTGGCGTTCCATTGTTTCTGTCTACCCTAATGAGAGACGTGACAAATATGTATGTAATTTTTATGAATGCAGAGTTCGGTAAGTTGTTATCTATTGAGAAGAGCCTGCAAGAAACTCAACAGTTACTCTTTTAAATGTCTATATCTAAAGTTATATGGTTGTTAAAAGCCCATGCATGATCGACTAAAACCATGCACTTTTGTCATTCAAATAATTGTTTAATGTTTAATAGGCTTTGTTCAATAAATGTTTTTAATAACAGTTCTAAACTTATTAAAAGGCAGATCCAAAATATCTTATTGTAACATTGAATGCCCATTCCCATAAAAGACCTATTAACTTTTCTAAACGATACTTTGAAACAACAAGTTCGAATTTGTATCTAGTGTTAAGATTATTAAGATCGCTATTTTAGAGAAATAATTGGAGATTCCTGTGAGGCAGTAGAAATTTAAAAAGTCGTAAAGTGACAAGAGTTAATATTGAGAACTTTTTGAGAAATTTTAATCAACAAAGATGAACAATCGATCAGACTCCTACCTAAGTCCATCAATAATATCGCATCAGCCACTGTCTTACCGTTTTTAAATCTTAATAAATTTGCACAGTGGGTTTACCTGAAATTGTCCTAACCTAACATCCGTTACTGCCTGCGGATGGGGAAAAGGGATTGTTAGTAATAAGGTCTAACTCCCCCATTACTAGCTATACATCCTATCAGGTCGACCTCCACGCGGTACCTCTGGAAATTAGCGTGGTTAATTCTAGTGCCATTCGTCACGATGTGCTGACGTACCTGTATCATCGTCACCTAACATCCCTCACTGGAGGGGAAATTGTTAATGGAGTTTGACAGCCCTATTGCTAACAATATGCCCTATTAGGTCGACCTCCACGTGGTGCCCTCTGGAAACCATCGTGAACAATGTTTGTTAAATTCGTCACGATGGGCTAACTGACCTGCTTTATCCTCACCTATCATCCTTCACTGGTGCCCCGCCGGTGTATACCGATAGCGCGGGTGGGGTTACCATTCCATTAGCACCCATTAAAAAAGACACTACTTGCGAATAATAATTAAGAGAAGGGGAGGTGGAGTGTGACCACCCCAAAATGCGAAATTCATAAAGACATATCTAAAAGTAAATATAAACCTTTTTAAAGTGGCAAACCACTCTAAAAAATAACCTTAAATAGCAATAATCCTGCGTCAACTAATTCCACTTTCATTCGTTCAAAAGTGTCATAACGCCTGTTCGTTTCTTAAGAGCAAATATTAATTTATGCAAATTAATAGTTTATAGAATCTAGGCTTATTTTAGTTTCTCGTACGGGGAATAGTAAGAGAAATAACATTGTGTTCGACAGAAAAACACCAACTTTGATTTTGTTACTCTATTATTATTATTATTTATCCTTTATTGTACAATAATACTTTGTACAAGTGGTGAGCTTAATACCATATCGTAAAGCAGTTGTGTTTGCACGGCTGTGTTTCGGTTTGAAAGGTGGGATATGGCGTGAATTTACAGGGTACAGAGGAATAACACCTGAGTCCTCAGGAATGGCAACGCATGGGCGAGACAATATACTCTGTTATGTCCATGGTACTGCTCATGTCTATAGGCGACGGTTACCATTTTCCATCAGGTGGACCGTCAGCTTGTTTACCATTCTATGTTGTATCAAAACAAATATGGCATTCTCTACCAGCATACTCTATTGTAGATATTTTTATTTAAAAAGCTTGAACTACCTGAACCGCTTAAATTTTTATTGAACTAATCTCATAGTATATTCTTTCCAGTAAGAAAATAATTTTCTAACTCAGTATATAAATGACGTAGTCATGAGGTAGCAAACATAAAAAATGAAATAAAAATCGGTAAAAAAACTTTTAAGTTAAACGGTTTTATTTTATGTGCACTGAAAACTACAAAATAAATAAATAGTTACTTACCTATCAACCTACGTAGGTGATCTCGCTCATTAATATCTCTGATGGTAGTGGTTGTCATAACATGAACCATGTCAGCGGCCGAAAGGCAGTTCATGAGAGAACACTAACACCAGGGTTTGCTTGGTAGGTAAACTAAGCAGCCCGCACTATAACAAGTAGGTATTTTGACCTTCTAGTTCAGAAATATTTTAGTACTAGGCAGAATAGCTTTTAGGCATATTAGACTAAAATAAAAACGTGGGGCCCATTAACTATTTCTGTATTACTTTCTACTATACTAAGTGTGGATTGCATCGACTTATTATAATCGTCATCATCATCATCCTAGCGGTTTATCCCGGTCGCATCCGAAACCTCATAGCTCCGGAGTCCAGAGTCCGCTGAATCGACTTACTATAATCGTAACTGGAGGTTTTGACCATCAATAACCAGCCGTTATGGCTTCACCAGCGAACGCCGAGCTCATGATCTACCAAAGTATAAGATATGCTCTGCTATAGGTATGATTTCAGAGGGGCCCAGAGTGTCAAGTGTCTGAGAGTCTAGTGTCTGAGTATCTTGTATCCGAGTGTCCAGTGTCTGAGTGTCTAGTGTCTAGTGTTTAGTATCTGAGTGTCGAGT